TTCCTTCAGAATTGTTGGTGTATCTCATTGACTCAGGGTGATTTCTGTGTCTAGTTGGTTTTTTGATGAGGGCATATTGTCCTTTCCATTGCTTCTCTCAGAGAAATCCCTCTGATCTATTTATATCAAAAAGGCACATGGATATAGGAATTGCCATATATGATCCACATTCCACTGACCTTTCCACTTGAACAAGCCCCAACAGCCCCTGCCTGCTCACCAGGCTGATGTGTTTCTTGGAAGATCCAGTATCTTTTCCATTGTGCACAGTCTTGTTGAGCTCCCATTAGCCTTCTGGATGCCTGTGAGTTAATTAAATACTGCTGTTAATCCTCTTTCTATCTGTAATTAAAGTTGTTTTTTTTTTAATTTTCCCAAAAAACTTCTTTTTCAAGGTGTGTGTTTAATTTTCCCATGACCTACTGTCATTCTACCATAGCTTAGATGTTGAATTTAGGAAATTGAGCTACCTATGCAGTGATGAAGAAATTAAAAACTGGTTAATTTCAATTCATTTCAATCTCATTATTTTTAACTCCTGCTTAAATTTTTCATTTCTGAGCTTCCACAATTACAGAACAAGAGTCTCAATTCTACCTCTTTATTAACATTTATCCAATGTAACAATTATTCAAGGTGAGTCGATGGATGGAAATTTCACTTTAGATTGTTGTGTTTTTAATAAATGTAAAACTCCCTGGGATAACCACCATATTTTGTCCAGAAGTCAGTCCTCATAATTTTTCGTGTCCATTTTTATTTATTTTTATTTGTTGTTTGTATGTTATTCTTAAAGGATCTTAGAGAGCCCACATGGAAGCAGTGGAGAGAATTCCTTGTCAAATACTCCTTCCTTCCGTACCAGCTGATTGCTGAATTTGCTTGGGACTGGCTGGAGGTCCATTATTGGACGTCACGGTTTCTCATCGTCAATGCCATGTTACTCTCAGTTCTGGAATTATTCTCCTTTTGGAGGATCTGGTCAAGAAGTGAACTAAAGTAAGTGTATTTTTATATTGGAGATGGTTGGAGCAACAGAGCCTGGAAAAGGCATCCTCACGCTCTGGTTTAGAAACACCCACTTAAGCAGCAAATAGGAAAAAAATCTTTATTTTGTGGGGTGGGGAGGTTTCCGTGGTGCTCATTGTTAAAGTGTTTCCCCACATATCTTATCCCCACATAATAATCTACCATATAATTCCTGGGGGTGGAGGGTGCGCATGAAGGATTTTAACAATTAAGGAATAAAACAACCAGAAAAAGAAGTTACTTGATAGAAAACAGCATTCTGGTAGGGCATAAAGAGATCTGATGAGGAATTGTAGGCATGAGTTCTGATCCTCTGCCACCAACTGCAACAGTAGTAACTTTTCTGGATTAATGCATAAAATGGAGAGTTGGGCTAGAAGGTCAGAGTCAGGAATCGGTTGCAAGTGACAGAAACCAACCTAAACTGGCTTCCCTTAAAAGGGAAATGCCCAGTTAAGACTTCCTGCATGGCTGGTCCCGGAGACCCAAATGCTGTCATCAGGACTGACTCTCCCCTCTCGCAGCTCTGTTCTTTGCCTGTTGTTTGGCCTCAGGCAGCTGTCTTTTTTGTGGGGGCACTTGATCATTCCAGGCACAGATCTTAGCAGCTGAGCAACCCTTGTGGAAGGAGAGCACTTCTATCCCTGTAGAACTTGTGAAAGTTTCGGGGCTCACACACCTTTGCCCTGGCCCGGACTTGGTCACGTACCCACCGGAACCCATCACACTGTGCAGGGGTATGCAGGGCTCTTCTTGTTCAGGTTCAAGGTGTGCACTCATCCCTCCAACAAATGGCTGGCTTCAACCCCACCAAACCACATGGGAAAGAACAGGGGAAGGAAGCCCCCCCAAAGGAAAACTCAGAAGGTGTTTCCAGAAGAAAAGGGGATGGCTGCTGGGCAGGCAGAAGTAACACATCACTGCACCAGCATCCTTGCAGCCTGAAACATCCAGTGACTCGATGGCTTCTTGGCCTCATCCATTAGGAGCAGCCTTATAAATAGTGCTGAGAACCAAATAAGAATCTCCCTCATTTCCTTAAATTCAGTGAACTCATTCATTCATGCACAGTTAATTGAGCCCCTACTCTGCCCCTGGCTCTCTGCTAAGTACTACAGTTCTTTTGGTAGACAGTCCATACTCTGAAGGCCAACAGCCTAGCAGAGAAAATAAGTATGTTAATTATATCCAGATTTGACACAGCAACGAAGCAGATGGGGTTGGGGCGGTAATGGGGATGTCTCACCTTGTGCGGGGACTGCCCTGAGGAAGTACCATCTAGGCTTCATCCTGGGAGCTGATGATGGGTTGTTATGTCTCGGACATGGAGACAGAAAACAAGGTCTTTGCAGCACAGGGACCGGACTCTGCACTGGGAAATGGCCCAGGGTCTGAGCACTCTGGTGTCATCATTAGGATTGCCATCATGGTTCCAGCTCTCAAACACTTCTCTTCTTTTTTAGGACTGTGCCTCAGAGGATGTGGAGCCATTTTTGGAAAGTATCAACACAGGGGCTTTTTGTGGCCATGTTTTGGCCCCTCATTCCTCAGTTTGTTTGCAACTGTTTGTTTTACTGGGCCCTGTACTTTAACCCAATTATTAACATCGATCTCGTGGTCAAGGAAGTCCGACGGCTGGAAACCCAAGTGTTGTGACTGGCACTGCCCAGGCTCTGAAGGACTCTTCCAGCCTCCCTGATGGCTGAGCTTTGATGCTTAAATGAAGCGGGGGAGGGAGTGGACTTCCTATTTTCTTCCCCTAGTAAACAAGGTGCTGCTTTGTCTGTCAAAGGCTACAACCAGGTCCTCTCTCCTTCTGCCTGTGGCATTGTGGCAGCAGGGACTGACATCCCAGAGCAGGGCAGACATAGAAGCAGCACCTCCCACCTGGCCACCTTGCTCACAGGAACTTGGGAGGCCTAGTCCATGACAGCTTGGAAGGACCCAGGGTCTTCAGAGGACATGGTATGGGCGACATCAGAAGGCTGCCACATCAGCAGTCCCTCTTGCCCTAACCTCTGACTGACATAGGCTCCCAGGGCAAGTGAGAGTCCTGAGACAGCCCAAAACCAGGCTTGTTGGGGCCTGCCCTATCCTCTAAGTCAAGTTTAGGAAAATGGGAGAAGGTTTTTGTCATAGGTATAGACAGTTACACACAAAAAATACAGAGGTAAACACAGAATCCAATTGACAATTCTATCTTTTGAAGAGTTGCTAGGTTTTAGAATTAAACATTAAAGGATTCAGTTTGAGAATAGAATGATGGGTAGACTCGACACTGTTTCTGACTTGTAATCACTGAAAGTTTGGATCTCTCTCTGAGCGGGGGATTGAGTGGGATGTCAGGCAATAAATGGAAAGTAATTCACACCAGGCTGAGCTGCCTCAGTGCTACTTAAAATTGTTTTATTTGGGGGTTTGCTTTGTTTTGTTTTGAAGAATTTGATCTATAAAATACAGGATAGTCTTTTTGTTCAACGAAACATTTTATACATTGACTTCACTGTATAATCTTTATTATCTTGTTCTGATGTATAAAACAGCAAGTATAGGGAGGTTTTGAGATCTTACCCCCAGCATATGTCGTTAGTTTGGCTCAAATAAACTCTTACCAAAAAAACAAAAACAAAAACAAAACCCAGCAAGTATAATTACATCAAATGCTGTAATTTTAAATATAAATGTGACGAACTATGGCCTCTTATTACCTTGTGTGAAAATGGATGTGAACTGTGACCCATCTGAAGATGGGCCCTGCAGAGATAAGCTTGCATCCAAAGTGTTCTTTTGTGACTCTGAACCATTCATTAATCCTTTGTATCTTTAAAGATTTCACTCAAACTTTGCATCTGAAAGTTTGAAGAAATTACTTAAAATAAAAATATTTTTATAAAGATAAAACTATTATATAAACAAAATTGTGTAGAAAACATGAAGAAAATCTGCATTGCCCGATAAAACCTACAAGTCATGCTTAAGTCCCCCTGCCTGATGGCAACACTGAGCCAAGGAACCACCTTAAGGTGAAAGAAGAGAGAACGTTTTTCTTCCTCCTGTGTTTGCTCATCAGGTCCCAGGGCTGCCTGACTTGACCTGCTAACCACTCGTGACCTGCCAGTGACACGGACAGCACTGCAGGTTTGAGGACACTGCAGTATTTGCAAATGCCTGGTCTCTTGCCTTGGGGGGGTTACTATTTTCCTTTCCAGATGAAGAGCTAGAGGCTGGGTGGTGTTTGTGGAGCTGGGCCAGAGCTGGACTATACTTCCAGGTCCAGTGCCCCTAACCCACTCCCCACATCCTCCTCCAAAGATGAGTGAAACCCACATCTGCTCTGGTGAGGAGGGCAAAGGAGACTTGGCCTAAGCAAATAGGTTAGGCTGGACTCACAGGAGGAGGGATGGACACTTCACAGAGCAAGAGCCACAGCTGCCTCTCTCCTCCCTCAGACCTTCCTAATCCTATGTAATTTAGGTGCATCAAAAGGGGATGTCTTTAAAATATTCAGACCCTTCGATGTAAGAATTTTATTTCTGCAAATCTAGGTTAAGGAATAATAAAAAGGTGGGTGGGCAATGGGGGTGGCAAAGATTAATTCACAAGCATCCTCATCACGTGAATAATTGATCAAAATAGGAAATACAACCAATATCCAAAAGTTAGCAATCTATAAAATGGTATCATACAGCTATTTAAAATGGAGTTTCCAAAGAGTTTTTAGACATGAAGAAAAGCTTATGAAAATCATAAAATAATAGTCTCAACTACATTTCAACAATTACAGAAAAGATAGCACACTAAGGTACTAAAGGCAGTTATTCTGGATTGTTATTCTGAATTGTGGGAATGAAGAGTATGTTTTTTCCTCTTATAATTCTCTATATTTGCCTTTTTTTAAATAGTGAATACGTAATACTTTTGTAATCAGGAAATAAATCTTAACCATTACAGGTGGAGTGGGATAGGAAAGAATATTCTTTCTTGAGCTAACTACTACTAGCCTTGAACTTCGCAAGGGTGGCCATCTGTATATTGCCCCAAACCAGAACCTAGAAAAGGCCAGGTACGTAGCCAATGTTTGTTCATATCTGACTGCTGCCATCGGGAGGTTAGAAGATGAATTTCAGCTTTTTCATAAAGGCTGTACCTCAAAAAACCCAATATAGTCATAAATAGTTGTGGTTTTATAAAACAGGCATGGGGTTTTGACCTTATTCAAACTGGAAATCAAACAGGCTCCAGCCCCAAGTTGAGAGAAAGCAAACACAGGTTGCGGCTTTAACATGTGGCCTCAGTTCTCCCTTGAAAAGAACTAGATGTGCCTGTTAATTAGTGAAAAGGAGTTTTATTTCCTGGTGCAAAAGGAAATGTCAAGTCAAGCCAGTCAGTCGCACTTGAGCAAGTCCTGCCCACATAAGAAACGGGGGTAGAAGAGGTACTTTAAATCGTATTTAGTTTGGGCTAAGCAGTAAGCAATCTCCTGGTCACACTTGCACAAGAGTTCTTGACATCTGTCCTCTGCTGGTCCTGGAAGAAATGGGGAAACTGAGGTTAGAGCAGGGATTTGCAGAGGCTGGAAGATAAATACGAGGGAAGCCAGTAACGCTGTTGGCAGAAAGAGTG